TTTTCTGCAAACTTCCATGTTGTTAAATCCAGTGGACATTTTTCAGTCTTCATCTGACTGACCTCTCTGCAACATCTGACTCTGCTGCCCTTACTCCTTCCTAGGCTGCCATACACTACAATAGCCTGGTTTTATTCCTATTTCTGGTTGCTCTTTCTTGGTCTTCTTTGCAGGCTCCTCCCCTATCTGGTCATTTACATTTTCGGAGCTCTGTCTTAGGCATTCTTCTCTTTTCACACCATATATGGTCCTCTCTTTATATGGTCTCATTCACACCCAACCTTGTATATTTCACTGCCTTCTTGGTGTTTCTAGGTAGAGATCTTGAAGTCATCTAAACTGTAATGTAGGTCCAAAAAATAAACATAATTTTCTGAGCAAAATCCACTCCAGAAACCTAGGAGTCAACCTCAATTTCTCCCTTCTTTGGCTCCCAAAGTCAATCAATAACCAAGTCCTGTCCATTTTACTTCCTAAATCTCTCTCCAATCCATTCACTCTTGCTCCTCTCCAAATCATTCTCAGAAATGCAGTCAAAATGATCTTTTGGAATCACAAACCTGATCATGTCATCTTACAACCTTCCTCATTAAAACACTTCAATAGATTCCCAACCCTTTTATCACGAAGACCCGAATCCTTAACATGGCCTATAAGGTCTTCTGTGATCTGATGCCTAATTACCTCTCTCATCATTTTTTCACCTTTGTCTTCTCAGCACCTTGCATAATGCTTGGCAAATAGTAGGAGTTCAATAAATATCTGTCAAACTAAAATGAATTAGAAGAATGACTCCTTAAACAGAACTGAAGTTCTTACAGCCTCGGTTTCATTACCTGTAAAAGTAAATAGTTCAATTATCTGTACTTCCTTTTCCTCTTCTAAAATTCTATGACTTTCACATGTTCTAGGGTGGAACTACCAAAACAAGTGTAAAAATGATAGATACTTTCGATTTTCTCATTTTCTAAATCCTACTGGCTTCCTCTAAAAGCCAGAAGATCAATTTGGTTTTCTTTAAGGAGGGGCAGAGTTGTTCATAACTCTCCTGCCTGTTTTTCACAACCGTATTACTTATGAGAATGCTCCCTCTGCTTGGCTTGACCTGGACAGAAGATTCGTGACACGTCCCCACCACAGAATCTCCCGGACTCCTGTAATCTCTTTCCCCACTGACAATGACCTCTGTGCTTTAGTGTATCTCTTTCCCCAGCCTTCATACCCCAGCCTCAGTATGAGATTCCAGTGCACACAGCAAATATTTCTAATCTCTGAAAATTACTTCAGGCTGTGCATACCTGGGGACAACTCCTGTGTCTCAAACTTCCCAAGGATGGCCCATCCCTAAAGCCAGTTCATATCAACTTGAAGCCCTGAGATGCCTGATGGTACCACTCTTCTCTCAGGCAGCCTCAGAATCATTTTAGGTGTCTCTTCTCTCATTCTCTATATCCTATTAGTCATCCTACATCAATTTCACCCTATCTCCCTGATCTCTTAATATTTAAGTTCCCCAAGTTTCAGTCCTTGGGCCTGAACCTCTTTCTCTCTCTCTTTAAAATTTACAGTCACTTCCTCGGTGATGTGTGTCAGGACTTCATATACTTTTATTCAACTGAACTCCAGAGTCGTATATCCAATTTGTCTGACTTAGCCTCACCATTTCAATGTCTTAAAGAACCTCAAATTATACAGGTCCAAAACCAAGTTCCTACCCTCCACCCCAGCCCTGTCTCCACATGAAACATGCTCCACCCGCTATGGTCCTTATCAGATGAGGCCAATTGCATACTTAGCTGAGACCAAAAACCTTGGCATCATCTTAACTCCTCTTTCTAACACCACAATGAATCTATCAGCAAATCCTCTTGGCTCTACCTTCAACAATATGCAGAATTTGATCATTTCTCACAACTTTCACTGGTCATCTTCAGTTTTCACATTCTTTACTTGGCTTTCGGGAGACAATAACGTTCTAACTAGCCCTCTTGCTTCTACTGCATCCACTACTGTCCATTCTTAACAAAGCAGGACTTTGAAAATGGATGTCTAATGTCACACTTTTACTCAAAATGTTTCCTTATCTCACACAGAGTGAAACTGAGAGTCTCACAAATGACCCTGCATCATCTGGCCCCTTATTCTTTTCCTATCACCTCCTACATTGCATCTCCTACGATTTTTTCCTTTGTTCACTCAGCTCCAGCCACAATGGCCTCCTGGAGAATGACAAGAATGTCTTCTTCCCTCCCCAGCCACACACACACACACACACACACACACACACACACACAGTCTCCAGACTATTTTCATTTCTGATCCTTCTTCCTGGAAATATTTGTCTAGATGTCTGCATAGCTTGCGCCCTCACCTCCTTTAAGTTTTTTCTCAAATGATGCCTTCTCAGAGAGGCCTTCCCTGACCACTGTGTTTAAAACTGTAATTCCACTCGCACATCTTAACCCCTTCCCGGCTTTATTTTTACCCATCGCACTCTTTATCATCCTTACATTTTATATTTTTACTTACTTGCTTTCAGATTGTCCCCTAGTCCATGAGATCAGGGATTTTTGTCCGTTTTGTTTGCTGTTGAACCCTAGTGTCTACGACAGTACGGGGTACACAGTAGAGTCTCAATAAATAAATACTGGACAAATGAATCTCTACACCTTTGCTCATGCCATCCTACTCACTTGAAATGATGGCTATTTAAATCCTACTAATCTTTCAGAACCTGGTGTTAGGTAAAAGACAAGCACAGAGAAAGAAATACAGCCCCAAGATGGATGACAGTAGAGGAGCACAGCACAGTTGTTTCAATACAGTTCGAGTCTCCAGACCAGATAAAATGTATTCCTCAGGGCTGAAAGTATTTTCAGATGAGTCTCAGAGCCAAGGCAAAGAACATTTGACCAAGTATGGAAAAGACTGGAGACTAGATAATGTACTGGTTAAAAAAAAAAAAAAGGATTCCTCCATTTTTCAATCTACAGATAAGTAATATTCTAGAATAAGTTATTAAATATGAAGTTTGTGCACATTTAGGAAAAATAGGGTGATCCTTAGAGACTTAAAAGGATTTCAATAAAAATAGGCTCAAACAATTATGATTTCGTTTACTAAAACGATTACTAAATTGGAAAGGATTACTAAATTGGAAAGTTGGAGAATGGCTGTGAACACAGTGTATCTGGATTTTCGCAAAGATTAACATTATAGACAAGAAATATATGTATAGATAAGGTGAAATGTTGGTTACACAATTGTTGTGTTCTGTTTCTTCCCAATTGGTTGAAAAAACATATTTTACAATTGATGAATAGAGGCTTGATGTAAATCTGGAGGAAAGTTTTGCAAGAATTGGACTTTGGTTTTGAACAGTTCAACAACGATTTTTTTTTTTTTTTTTTGAGACAGAGTCTCATTTTTTTTTTTTTTTTTTTGAGACAGAGTCTCACTGTGTTGCCCGGGCTAGAGTGCCGTGGCGTCATCCTAGCTCACAGCAACCTCAAACTCCTGGGCTCAAGCGATCCTTCTGCCTCAGCCTCCCGAGTAGCTGAGACTACAGGCATGCACCACCATGCCCAGCTAATTTTTTCTATGTATTTTTAGTTGTCCGATTAATTTCTTTCTATTTTTAGTAGAGACGGGGTCTCGCTCTTGCTCAAGCTGGTTTCGAACTCCTTAGCTCAAACAATCCGCCCGCCTCGGCCTCCCAGAGAGCTAGGATTACAGGCGTGAGCCACCGCGCCCTGCCAACAACGATTTTTATAGTCATTGCCATGAATGCTTAAGATGCTCATGTCTGTCCCCTAAAGGTTGCTGGAAGGGATGATTGAAAATCACATCAGGACTCAAGATAATCTCATGGGATCATCATGGCTTTTTTTATGGCTTTTAAATGATGGGATAAGCTCAACATGTATTTAGGTTCAAAAAACATGCTCTATCAGTATTAAGGATAAGGGTAGCCTCGAATTGGTTTTAGGTGATTAAAGTTCAATATAAGCAGTGGGATGCTGCCTCGAAAGCAACGCAAACTCGAGGCGTGCTTTAATCAAAGTCGAGCATTTCTGCAGTACCCTACCCTGATGGGACAGCATCTGAAATAGTGTGCCCAGTGGAAAGTCATCTAGACGTCAAGAGGCTTTTCAGCAAAAGATCTAAGGAAGAGCTTAAGAAAATGAGCATTTCTGGCTTGGAAAATATAAGATTATAGAGAGACGGTGTGAAGATTTCCAAATATTTGCCAGGCTCCCAATGGCTGTTTCTCAAAATGACCAAAATTAGATGCTTCAGGGAAAAGAGACGCTGCAAGTGCAGAACCGTTCACCAGGGCGATTCGTTACCCTGGAAGCTGGCGTGTGCAGCAGGGCTCCAGGGCAGGTGGAGACGCCTCGGCAGAGCGCGTTCTGGAAAACTTCCCCGGAGTCCCGATGGCTTGCGCGCTCATAGACGCGCCTGGGGGGCCGCCTGGGCCGAGGGCGGGGTCCGGTGTCTCCCGGCGCCCTCGGCTCCATCCGGGATCGGCACGGTGGCTGGGAAACGCCGCCCCGCCTGTGCCGGTCCCCAGGCCGCGGGCGGCCAGCTCCGCGCTGGACACACCCAGGCACCGCCTCCTGAGGCCGGCCGCGCCCTCGCTGGACCGGGAACCGCTGGCCGCGCCGGCGCCGTAACCGCCCGCGGGCCGGGGCGGGGCCTCGCCAGGCCCGCGCGCGCCGGGAGGCCGGAGGATCTGCCCGCTGATCCGCCGCGCCACCGCGCCACCGCATCCGGCCGGGACGCGCGAGAGCGGGGCCTCACTGCCCATTACAGACCCCATTGGGGAGCCCTTCATGGCCCCGCAAGATTTCCTCCAGCTTCGCAGCGGTCTCCCTGTTTGCCCACTACTCCAGACCCTCGGATCCCCCCAGTGCCCCGACCCTCCCAAAGGCGTCTCAACGCCGTTCCTCCGCGAGCACCCGCCCCCGGCACTCCATTCAGCGCCCGCGGCCCCTCACCTGTAGAAGGCCGTGTTGACCCTCTTTTCGCTAGGGAAGCCGAGCATCCCGCAGACCACGTGGCTGTTGTGGGCGCTCCAGCCTTTGTCACACACTTGCGACCAGCCATCAGGAAGCTTGACCTCAACCAGTCCCTCAGTCACGGGCAGGGGCCGCCTGCCCCACCCGACTCCTGGTCGCAGTCGCACTTCCTCCACTTGCGGGTTATGCTCCACCTGCGGACGGGGCCACAAGCAGGGGAGAGAATCCCAGTAGCACCTTTCACATGTCCTGTAAACCCAGCGGCGGGATGGGACTGAGCCAGGGCTGAGAAGAATGCCACGCCTGCCCTCAGTCTGGGGTGTGTGGACTCTCCTCCAGCCACGGGGGTGGCGGCTATGCTGTGCTCTGAGAAATGAAGGGAGCTGAGGGAGGAACACCCAACTCTGCCTGGAGCAGGAGGGAGGACTTCACAGAGGAAGCGGCTTTGAAGAAGGAGGAGAAAGTAAGAAGGGAGATGTTCCAGGACAGCTCAGTGTCTGAGGAAAGGGAGAGCACAGGACGCTCCCAGGGTGACCAGGCATGAAGTTGGAGAGGCTCAAGTCATTTTTTGTTCCTCGAATGCTAATGTTACCCGCCCCGGCCCCCTCCCCTGCCCCGCAATTTTACAGCACTGAGGAACTCTACCATTTGCTTTTCCATGCCTCCCGCCAATCCAAAGTATTCCACAGGGGCGTATGGGATCCCCTACTTCTAATATCTCCTCTAACCACCCCACAGTCCTCTCTGTCTGGCCATCCTGGGTGGTGTGTCTATGTCTGTGAACTACAGACCTCGATGACATTGGAGTCCTTGAAGCCAGGGAGGCGCTGGTCCTTGCAGATGACCCCGGCATCCTCATCATGGGTACAGTCACTGTTCCCCCAGCCCCGGGAGGCACATTCAGTCACACTCTGCTCAGTCCCAGTGCAGCCCAAGTTGTCCAGCCAGATGCGGCCTGTGGAAGGGGAGATGGGGGGACAGAGAAGCTTGGGGAGGTAGAATGAGGGAGATGGGGAGGTTGGGGAGAGTGAGCATGGGGGCCTCACACTTGGTCATAATGATCCCATTTTTCTCCTATGATGGGGATTTTCTGGTGGAGAAGAGACAGGGGACCCTAGAGGGGAATAGGAAAGAGGGCATAAGATTGACAGAAAGTTGGTGGTGATCTGGGGATACTCAAGAATTTGATAGGGCAAATAAAAACCAAGAATCAACACTGAAGCTCTGATCAGTCCTCATCCATCCAATGATAGCTACAACTGATCAAGTACCTATTATGTGCCAGCTGCTCTGCCATGGTGGGGACATACATGATCATTCTTAGAACAGAGCTGCCAGAGACTGTTTTATATGAAGAAACTAGGGTTCAGAGATGTTAAGTAACTTGCCTAGGACCACAGAGCCAATACATGGGGACTTAGGAGTTTGACGTATTGTGAGACTTGGAAATCGAAGATCCCTTCACCTCAGCCTTGCATTCTCCCACATGCCCGTCCTGTCTGTGCTGCCACTTAGCCCCTTGTTCTCTGTATGGACCCTAATGAGTATGACTGACTGCCTTTCATAATTGGGTGGAACCTCTAAGGTCATCTGTCCCAGCCATTGTGCAGGGACCCCTCATTCATATCATAACAGGATTTACCTAGCTTCTGCTGGGACACCTACATCCTGACCCACCAGACTTTGTAACCATCAGAAAGTCCTCCTACCTCTTGACTTTCCCTTAACAAATCCGATTCAGTCTTTTGATGCCATCCAGAAAAATCCCTCAGCCATATGATTGTCCTTCCCATATTTGAAGACAACCATTATGTAATTGCTACCCAAGGCATTTTGTTTCCGTACCAAACCCCTTGTTCTTTAGCTGTTCCTCCTAGAAACTTGGCTTCTGAATCTTTCACGTTTGGGCAGCTCTCCTCTGAAAGTATTTCCATTTTCTACTGTCCCTCTTAAAATGTAGCATCTACAAATGACACTTTGTTCAGTCTAGCCAGTGGGAATTGGGTGATCAACTGCAGGTTGCATCTGCTTCTGTCCACCCATCCCACTGTGGGCTCCCTTAGTCAGTTTTAGCTTGTTAGTTTTAGCTCTGGCCTGTAATCTGATTTTGTCAGCTCCAGTATCTGTGATGCCTTGTGGCTTTGGGACATCCAGACATTTACCTGTTCTCAGCTTCCCATGAAACCAACTCTAATCATACAGGGCTCACCTGTATCTGGGCTATCCTTGCTCATGGCTTTGTAGAATCATAGTGTTGTAGCAGAAAGGAACTTAGGGATCATCTAGTCATTTTGCACACAGGGCATCTGAGGTTCAGAGAAAGCACTGACTAGCCTAAGGTCACACAACTCTGAGAGTAACTATGGTGGTTGGTTTGTCATCCATGGGTACACTTGACACTGGCTGTTTTGGAGTTCTGTGTCCCTGTGTCTGTCCCATCCTGGTGTTCCTTCTCCCTGCACTTAGGTCACACTTAGGTAATACCTAGGCTATGCCTGGATCATGGCTCACCTGTTCCAGGGCCATATTTGGCACTGTGAGTCCAGCCTGTGGCCTCTGTAAAGCCCAGCTCTCGGCAGAGGACGTGGGCAGCCTGCAGCGTGAAGTCATCATCACAGATGGTGCCCCATTCACCAGCTCGCTGTATCTCCACGCGGCCCTCGTAGGGCTTCCTGGGGAAGCCAGCCAGCCGGAACCGCAACCCCTGGCTTCCGGCCCTCTTCTCAGGGTCCGTGGAAGGGGATGGGGACCCCAAGCACAAGCTGCACAGCAGGCACAGCCGCAGCCCCCACGGGCTCCGCTGCCAGGCACTGACAGGTAGCATGGCAGGGAAGGCCTGGGTGCCCCAGAGAGAAAGTATGTGTGAGAGAAACAAATTGAGCAAGGCCCAGAGTCAGAGAGAGAGAGAGAGAAATCATGAAAGGAAGACACTGAGTCAGACCAGAGACAGAGAGACAGCATGAGAGATAGAGCCTCAGGGACTGAGAGACATAGTGAGAGAGAAACACTAAATAAGGGCAGAGAGAGCGTCAAAGAGGCACAGCCTGAGAGACCCAGATTGGGGTGGAGGGAGATAGCTATGCTCTCCCTCCCTTTTGTAGATGATAAAACCCTCACAATTAGTTGTTCTGTCCCACATCTGTCCCTAGTTCTGCCATCATCATCTCCGTTACCCCCACTCACCAGAGATAAGACAGTGATTAGAGACCAAGGGTTGGAGAATGGTCAAGATAAAGAGAAAGAGACTGAGCAAGAGACACCCAGAGAGGACGACCCAGACAGACAGGATGTGAGAGGAAGGGGGACTGTGGGAACGAAAGGGAGAAAACCAAAAGAGACAGCAAAGAGACAGACAACGTTGAAGATGACAGAAGGTGACAGCAAAAGAACCAAGCACACAGTAGTGGGGAGGGAACGAGAGAGGCAGGCAACAGGTGAGGGGAGCGCAATTGACAAGAGCTAAGGAGCAGGCTGGGAGGGACCCAGATGACCCCATTTAGCCAGAGAGAGGACAGACAGCTGTACTGATTGTGGAGAGAGGCAGGCAAGGGGGCCCTAGGAGATCCTTGGATCTCGGATGCCCTGAATGGGAGTCCAGCCCCGAGTCCTATCTGGGCAGATTCCTAGGCAGCGAGGGTGACATCGAAGAATGTGTGGAGAACCCGCTGCACACCCTCCCAGGCACACAGGCTTTCAGATGCCCTTCGGGGTCAAGGGGCCCAGGAGGGCCAGGCCTCAAGCTGGGCGGGGGTGGGGTGGGGCTGTCTGAGCCTCCTGCCAACTCCACCATCGCTGTCTCCGGGCAACCGGAGGCCAGGCCGCTATGGGCTCCTTAGCCAAGGCCTGCTCTGTCTGGGGCTGAGAACAGCCCCTCCACAGCAGGGGCCTTCCTGAACATGCTTCCCCCAACCCAGACAAACAACCCAACAAGACAGCTTTGTTCTGGGGACGTTTTGGCTTGGGGGCCCAGGGGTAAGGCCTCACAGAGGAGCCCCCCCGCCTTTGGGCTCTCCTGCTCGCCCTTTTCGGAACACTCTGCTGCAGCCCCCACCCCCAGTATCTGCCTCCTCCCTCCACTCTCCTTGCGTCTCACTCCCCTTTGACAATAATCAAACTCGGTTAGTTGGCTTTCCCTCCCCTCGACTCCATCCCACACCACCCCATTTCGCTGCTCCCTCTCCATCCCCAGCTCTCCCTACCTTTGGTTGAGCAGGACCCTAAGGTCTGGGAGAAGAGTCCTGGTCCTGAAGACCAGTCCTAGGACTTCCAAAAAAAAGTCGTCGGCTAGGGGAGACTGGACCCCCCTCCTCTCTCCCCTCTCTGTTCGCCCCTCCCACGTCCCCTAGAGCCCTCCCACATTCCGCCTTCTCCCTCCATTCCTCCCCAGCCAGCTCCCTCCTCTCGTCCTCCTGGTCCTCCCCTCCCCGGTGGAGCTGGCCGCTGCCGCGCCCCCTCCCCCCTCCCCGGACCGTCCCGCGCTGCTCAATGAAGCTTTCTTTTTCCGCGGGTTGGAGGCCGGGCAGCTGCGGTCAGGGAGCTGACTTGCAAGCGGCCACCGGGCGGTGGAGCTGCCCGGGCGGCGGCCCCTGTGGTGGCGGGAAGGCTTCCAGCCCCCAGCCCCCAGCCCTTCCTTCAGGTCCCCGGCTCGCGGACAGAGTAAACAGCCCAACTCGGGCGGGGCTGGGGGAGGGTCCGGCCTGGGGAACTGAAACCCTGAAGGCCCACTTGGTCTCTCTCGTGTCCCAGGGTGCGTGCAGACACTTTCGGGGTGATGCCACGGCCTTCGCTCTGATGTCACTTTGGGCATATGACATCACACGCAGCCCCCAAGCCCAGCCGCTAGGGCCTCTGGCTGAAACTGAAAACCTTCTCCCGGTGGAGCAACTTGTGTGCCCCCAGGGCTGTGGGTAGGGGCCTGGAGGTGGTGCACCGCCCACTTATCTGGTGACCTCTACCCCTTCTTCTTGCTCCTTTCCCTCACCCCACCCCACCCAAGCGGCCCGCAGGGGCCGGGGGGGAGGGACAGAAACGCCTCAGGCGGCCAGGCCCCGCCCCCAGCCCCGCCTCTCGCCCTCTGGGCCAGGAAGCGCGGAAGGAACCTCCGGGGGCCATGGACGGAGCTGTGATGGAAGGGCCGCTCTTTCTGCAGAGTCAGCGCTTCGGGACCAAGGTAGTGGGGGGCAGGGGATGCTGAGCCCCATCTGGGCCAGTGGTGGGTGAAAAGGCCCAGAAAGAGGGAGGGCGCCGGCAGCAGGTTGGAGCGTGGCTCCGGGAGTTGGAGAGCCCGGCGAGGTTCCCGCGAAGTTGCTTTGCACACTCCGGAGAAGCGCCTGCAGTCTCGGGGTATCCCCTCCTTGGTCTTGGGGAGACCGAGCAGCATCATCCTTGGGAAACTTCGCTCCCCGTCGGAAAGCCCCAGATCCCAAATCGGCCTGCGCCACTTCTCCTTCCCCGTCGGGGCCCGGGCCGCCCGTGCACGCCGGCTCCCTCTCCAGCGTCTGTCGCTCTCTCGCTAGAGGTGGAGGAAGACCTGGGCTGTACTCTACCCGGCCAGTCCCCACGGCGTTGCGCGGCTGGAGTTCTTTGACCATAAGGGGTTGAGCTCTGGAGGTGGCCGAGGAGGTTCGCGCCGCCTGGACTGCAAGGTGATTCGTCTGGCCGAATGTGTGAGCGTGGCCCCTGTGTCCGTGGAGAGCCCCCCTGAGCCCGGCGCCACTGCCTTCCGCCTGGACACTGCGCAGCGCTCGCACCTGCTGGCTGCCGACGCACCGTCCAGCGCTGCCTGGGTGCAGACGCTGTGCCAAAACGCCTTTCCGGTGAGGGGTCAGAGCTGCCAGCGAGGGGCTGGGGTGCAGTGGGGGCGGTTACAGAGGCAGAGAAGTGGGCCTGGCTCAGACCCCTCGAGAGCCGCGTTGAGGGAATTATAGGGTCCTCAATGCTCTTTTTTACTACAGAAAGGAAGCTGGGCTCTGGCGCCTGCCGAAAACCCACCTAAACTTTCTGCCCTGGAGATGCTGGAGAACTCCTTGTACAGCCCCACCTGGGAAGGTAGATGCCTGAGAAGCCCGGGAAGGGATGGAGCGGGAAGGAGTGCCCTTGGGAAGCGGGCGGGTACGGTGGGGAAGAAGGAAGCCCTTGAGATCTAGCTTCCAAGGGAGTGCTTGGACACTCTGCTCCTGAGACTTCCCGGTCCCTACCCCTACCCCCAGTCAGTTGTCCATCTAATTGTGTATTCCTTCCAGGATCCCAATTCTGGGTAACCGTGCAGAGGACCGAGGCCGCTGAGCGCTGTGGCCTGCATGGCTCCTATGTGCTGAGGGTAGAGGCAGAGAGGCTGACTCTCCTGACCGTGGGGGCCCAGAGTCAGATACTGGAGCCGCTCCTGTCCTGGCCCTACACTCTGTTGCGTCGCTATGGCCGGGATAAGGTGCAGGGGCTGTCAGGGGGGCTTACTGGGTTGGGTAGCTGTGGGCGGGTTAGGGCAGGACAGTGGGGGGAAGGTCTGACCTCTGGATCCCCCTTCCATGCCTACTCCGTTACCCTGCCTCCATCCCCAAGCAGTCTGTTCTTCGTAGATACCCTAACTAGTTCAGGCCCTGTGATCATGTCCTCTGATGGCTCCTGGTAACACGTTTCCCTCCACACTCTCCTCAGGTCATGTTCTCTTTTGAGGCCGGCCGCCGCTGCCCCTCGGGCCCTGGAACCTTCACCTTCCAGACGGCACAGGGAAATGACATCTTTCAGGCAGTTGAGACTGCCATCCACCGGCAGAAGGCCCAGGGAAAAGCTGGACAGGGGCACGACGTTCTTAGAGCTGAAGCCCATGAAGGGGAGGTGGCAGAGGGGAAGTTGGCTTCTCCTCCTGGCCCCCAGGAGCTCCTGGGCAGCCCCCCAGCCCTGTATGCTGAGCCCTTAGACTCCCTGCGCATTGCTCCAGGCCCTTCCCAGGACTCGCTATACTCAGACCCCGTGGACAGTACCCCTGCTTGGGCAGGGGAGGGGGTACAGTTGAAGAAACCTCTCTATTGGGACTTGTATGAGCATGTGCAGCAGCAGTTGCTGAAGGCCAAGCTGACAGACCCCAAAGAGGACCCTATCTATGATGAACCTGAGGGCCTGGCTGCAGCCCCTTCCCGGAGCCTTTATGATCTACCTCAGGAACCCAAGGATGCGTGGTGGTGCCAGGCTCGGGTGAAGGAGGAGGGCTATGAGCTCCCCTACAACCCTGCCACTGATGACTATGCTGTGCCACCCTCTCGGAGCACAAAGCCCCTCCCAGCTCCCAAGCCCCAGGGCCAGGCCTTCCCTGAACCTGGTATTGCAACTGGCAGTGGCAGCAAAGGCCACAGCTCAGACACTGTCCTGTACAGCCAGGTCCAGAAGAGTGGAACCTCAGGGAGCTGGGACTGTGGGCTCTCTGGAGTCGGGACTGACAGGGCTGGGGTCAAGTCAGACGGCTCCACCTGAGAAGAAAGGCAGGGCTGGGGTTGCTGATAGGAGGACCATGGGAAGGTGGCTCCAGGGATCAAAGAAACCTGTTAGATCCAGTGGGTGGGAGGGGCCAGTGTGACCAGAAGGATTAGGGGAGTCAAGGGAAGGATGATCAATCCCAGGAAGTCCTAGGAAGTGGAAGAGATGGCACGGCTGAGGGATGGTTTCTGGAGAGGGTCAGCACCCCAAAGCCATCCCTTCCCTACTTCCCAAAGGAAGGGACAGCTGCTGGACCAGGTCAACAGAAAGGGATACTTGGTCAGAGTGGGCACAGTTTGAGGGGCCTGTACGGAAGCTGTAGGGAAATGCTGGATTGTGCCTAGATCCTTACCCTTGCATTGTTCTTTGCCCAAGATATATTTAAAAATTTTTTAATTCTCATTAAAGTCAGCTTGGGTTTAAGAGGTCTATGTGTGTGAATAGACAAGGAGGGAACACAGTGGCTGGGTGGGTGTGGAGGGGAACAAGAAGAGAACCAGGAATGTGTTGGAAGCCACAGAAAGAGGAAGGGGCTCCAGGGAGGGGAGCTGAGCACGTGGCGGCTCAGAGCCTGGGTGTCAAATTGGACTGACCTGGGCTGGCCTCTAGCTCTGTGACCCTGGATGAGTTGTAGAACATCTGCAACCCTCAGTTTCCCCTGCTGCCCCTCTGTAAAACAGGAAAAATAGTAATGGGCTCCACCTCACAGGGTTGTTTGTATGAAATCAGGTAAATTTCTCAGGTACTTAGTGTAATTTGAAGCACAGAGTAAGCATTTTTAAAATGGTAGCTATTATTCCGTGAGTGGAGCAACAGGAAGGTGGGCACGCATGGGGAGAGGGGAATAGGAAAGGAATAGGTCTTTTTCACACCATCCTTTCTCCTGCTCTCAGCTGTGACAGCCCCTGTCCCCCAGCACACACACTTTGCCTGTAGGTACCAATCACCTAGCGCTTGTCTGTTGGAGGCTGAAGGGAACTGCGGTGTGGTGGGTGTCCTGGGAACGGCACCAGCTCTGGAATGAGGATTGGATTTCAATCCTACTTGTTTTTCATGAGCTCAGAAAACCTTACCCTTGTTCCTGAGGGCTACTTTCCCAAGGGTGACCTGACCTCATCCACCTGCTTACACAGTCTCAGGATTAGGATGGGGACAACAACAACAACAAAAAAGAAATTCTGGGCATGGCAATGCTCCTAGCAACGATGGAGGCCTGCTGGGTTTTTAATCTTCATCTGTGTTAACAGTATCAAATGATCCAAAAGAAAATGAGAGTCCTGCCAGAGAAGGGACAGGCTTGGGTGTGTTGCTTCTGACCTGAGGAGTGAGGCCATGGCAGCACTCAGAACAGAGGAGGGAAAGGCCCTGTTTCCCAGGCAGTCTGAGCTCACAGAGGCTCAGATGGATAGAAGGCAGGTCTGACCACAGATAGCCATTGTGTGAGCCTTAGCATAGATGTGATTAAGCGGGCCAGTTGGGCGCTGGAGCTGGCGACTTAGGGCCCTGAGGGATACTCCTCCTGCTCGGAAGGCAGGAAGAAGGCTTCTGAGGAAGGTTTGCTGGCTGCTTGCATCTTGGGGTCTCTTCCTGGGGCAGGAGTCATAGGCAAGGGGGCCACTGTGGCTCGAACTCGCTTGGTCTGCACCTGCCCAGCCTGCAAAGACAGCAACCAGAGCTTTTTCTGAAGACCAGAGTTACTGTGCTCCTAATCCTGTCCCCTGTTGGGCTTTTTATCTGAACTCTCTCATAGTCCCATCCATGGAGTGACAGCCTCAAG